ATTACAACTGATTTCCTTTTAGATTGCAGCTGTTGTAACTCAGCCATTTGATGTAGTGAAAACACATAGGCAGACTCAGCTTTGGGAGAATGAGACCTTAAAAAGTAAGTTGCTGGTAAGAAAAAAAACCAACCCTATAGTGTTTCAAAAAATAAAATGTAGTATTTGGGTATGGTTTGTGGTAGGAATTTTAAATATTTGGCACTTCTAAAATATATGTAAACATTTTACCAGCCAGGCATTTTTTCTTCCCCAAACTAGTATATTTTTTCTCCTAGGAGATACATTTTATCTCCTAGGAGAACACCATATTTTATTAATGATGTGGAAGAGGGAAAAGGTGTGAGTTCAGTACAATATAGGTTAATAAGATGGTATAAAATTGAAACAAAGGAATCCAAAGCTATTACATTTAGGCAGACCAATTGCAAATTTGAGATGTTCCTGCTTATTGCAGGGATGTTGGACTAGATGACCAATAAAGGTTCTTTAGTTCTTTGGTTCAAACTATTCTATGATTCAAGTAAGTTATATTTATATAGGCAAAAAAGTAACTTCATAGCAAACATTCAGTTGAACAGTGATCTGTTGAACAGTGATCTATTGAAAAAGTGTTCAAAATAACATTCACTACCACTTACTCCTGCCTGGCGATATTCTTGTGATAAATATTAGACTAGAAAGAGAAAGTATTATGCTCAGGTTGTGTATTTTTTACCTCCTTTTCATGTGATTACAAAAAAAATTATTTTTGAGGGCATGTTATTGAATGTCCCAACATCTTTAAAGGATGAAAAAGGAAGTTTCTGTTTGGCTCTTGTCAGTAGAGCAGTACTCTGTTTTATCCAAATGATATCCAAAGTGGTATATATACCTTTTCTTCCATTGCTTGGGATGTGGACCAGTGAAGGAATTAGATTAACCTAAATAAATATTATATCATGGCTTTAAGTTTACAGACCATTAAAAAGGCTGAGTATCCAAATAGTTTTTGCTTAGAAAATAAGTGCTCACTTTTTGGCATGAGGTTTCATTCTCTCAGTTTTGGTTTTTTATCCCTACAGTAATTCTTAAAAAAAATGATTATCATTTGATTGCAGAACAAATATTAAAAAAAAGTTTTAAATATAAATAGTTACTGTTTCTAATCCTTTTCCTGTACTGATGAATGTAAGAATTCCTTCCTAACACCACTTTGAAACATGTGTCTGCCATATATTTATTAGGTTAATATTAATAATATTAATTTATATTTAAAAAATTTCATTATGGTAATCTTTAATTTGTTCCAGTTTTATTCTTTCAAAATCCAGTTACTGTTGGAGTTGAACACTGACTATGCATCAAAATTTTGTCTCTCTGTGACTGCAAAAATATTTTTGGCTTCCAAGGGCTGTGGGATATTCCTAATGAATATATTTTCACCTGTATCAGCAATCCAGTAAAAATTATAGTAGCTGTTCATATATCTTACTCTAGGTTTTACTGCAGGTCTTTTCCATTACTTGCTGTTTCAACTTGTGTATTTGCATTCTGTATTAATTTAACATACTGTATAAATAAGATGGATAAAATTAACAAAAAAGGGCATTAAACCCAACAATTACATCTATAACAGTCTCTGATTTCTAAAAATATCATTCTGTGGCATTGCATGGATTGCCTAATTCACTGTTGTCTTGTACTATATTGAGTTCCACAGAGGGACAGTAAATCAACCTGGGCAGTTATGAGGAAAATTGCTGCTAGAAATGGGATTTCTGGATTATTTGCAGGTAAATTTTTTCCTATCACTAAAAAAAAATTCAGACTAGAGAGTTCTTAATCATAGATGTTAACATGCATAAATTATATATTTCCATTTCTGTGACCACTGTCAGTTATGAAATAGTTTGCATATATAAAGCAACAGACATGCAGACATTGGCCTCTCCTGGGATCTTCTTGGTAGAGTACCGTGGGATAAAGTCCTGGAGGGAAGAGAGGCCCAAGAAAGCTGGTTAATATTCAAGAATGACCTCCTCCAGGCTCAGGAACAATGTATCCCAGCAGAGAGAAAGTCAGGTGAAAACTCCAGGAGGCCTGTATGGAGGAAGAAGGAGCTTCTGGACAAGCTCAGACACCATAAGGAAGCCAGGACAGGGTGACCTGTCACAGAGAAATGGTCCAAGTGAACAGAGAGCAGGTTAGGAAATTAATCTGGCCAGGGATGTCAAGGGCAACAAGAAAAGCTTCCATAGGTATGTTGGTGATCAGAGGAAGATGAGGGAAAAAATTGGCCCTCTCCTGCGTGACTCTGGCAGCCTGAGGCAGAAATGACAAGATAGTGACATTAAAATAATATTGAGATAAAATCCTATTGTAGTTCATACTGAAATGACCATCAGCAAGAGACATTCCAAATCCAGGATACTTACCAGCCTTCACCACACTGTACTGGCTCACTGGGGGCCCTTGTGTGAATGGCTGCACAGGTGGTTAAGCCTTGCAAGACTTAATTTGCTGAAAGAGATTAAACTGCTGAAAGAGATTTTACTCGCTGTACAGTGATGGCATAGCTGGGTAATAGGATTTGCATATTTCAGAGCACTGGATGCTAACAGAATGCAAGACATCACAAAGTATCACTAAAATTGATACTGAATTCAGTTAATAGATTAAAGCACTCACACTTCAGTCTTGACACATGGGTAGCAGACCTCAGAGATGCTCTTCATCAGCCACTGCTTCAGTTCAGTTGGCCACACGTAGCTGAGATGGCTGGGGTTAGCCTGCCTGGCTCCTTGTTGCTGTTCCAAAGTCACACAAGGTCTCTGTGGGTCGTGTGTCATCTGTGTTGGATCTCTGCAGACATCTTTGCATTTCAAGTGGAAGTAGAGGGCTCACTGTGTGTGGAAAAGGGGATTCAACCTTATTTCCCTTCCTCTAAACTGAATCACCTTCTAACCTCCACTGGCAAGATCACAGTTGACTGTAATGGGAGACACTTAACACTTAAATTCCATCATTTATTCATGTGACCAGGATTCTTCATTTTGGTAGAGCAGAGACACAGTGCGCTTGAGGCAGGCAGACCACACAGAACAGCAGAGGTGAGGGCATAAGGTTATTACACTGGTAATACCTACAGCCAGTAAATTCAGTATTTTGAGGCCTGTGAGCAGGTACTATCCCAGCTCTAAACTGATATACTATGGTATTGTTATATTGTGATCAACACATTGTACTGCAGCACTTGGGTCTGAAGACAAATAATAGTGAACAGTTCCCTTTCTCTTCTGGGCAGGTATTACTCCACGGCTGTTTAAAGTTGCTCCTGCTTGTGCCATAATGATCAGCACGTATGAATATGGAAAGTCTTTCTTTTCTCATTTAAATGAAAAAAAGAATCAACATCCATAATTGTTCTGCATCCAGTTGTATGAAGGCAAAGTATATGATGGAAGTTGTGCCAAATTTAAATCTGTGAAGATGTTTTTTTAGAATTCCCAGTGAATTTCTACCGTCACATTTGGTAACTAAATAAAGCTTCATTTTTAACTTTCACAAAGGATTAATTCACTCTTTTTATTAAGAGTAAGAAAATGCACATCACCCTGAAACTATCACTGAAGATTTTATGACTTCTCTTGCAGCTGGAGAGAAAAAAGAAAGGAAGGAAGAACAAAAGAAAAAAGAAAGGAGGAAGAGAAGAAAAATTGAGGCTGGACATAGCAATGAAGAATAATGACTTCCACTGTGTTAAATTTTCAGTCATGATTAAACATTTTAGTTGGGTTTTAAAATTATGTTTTAAAATGTTTTGGGTCTCTAATTGTAAGATATATTTATTTCTCAGTAAGGAGGTTGATACAGAGCGAATTCAATAAATACTTATTTATTCTTGCTGCGTGTTATGTGTTTCATTCTGCACATGTTTGTTATTTGCAGCTCTGTATTTTGTGTAAGTGCATTTTATAAAAGCTTCTCAGGTTTATTTTAAATGAAAAATTCTGTAAAATTGGAAAAATACTTATGTTTATTAGACACTGAGAGAGCGTGGTGCACACACTGGTGGGGCAGCAGGGGTTTTTGTTTAAGGTAATACTGGAAGAAATTAAAGCCCACCTATACACTGAAGCCAAAGGCCTGTACAGGTGCTCTGCAGGAACACTCCTGCACGTGTTTCTGGCAGGTGCCAGTTGTCACTGTCACACTGCTCCAAGGCAGGGCTGGGCCATGCACACTTTGTGAGGTGCCACCTGTCTTGGAAGGCCGAGGTTGCTGGCAGGCGAGAGGTGGTTGTGTGCCAGCTTGAGTCAGCCCTGCGCCCCTCTGAAGGCAGGAGCGAGTGCAGGTTGCTGCCACAGGCACAGGCACCCTCTGCCCCAGCGTGCTGCACTCCTGGTAGGGACAGCTGCAGCACTGCACTTGTCTGTAGGCACTCAAATTACTAAATCAGAGCTGCCTCTGTATGATTTAAATCCTTTTTAACTACCCTCACTACCTCCCTCTTTTCATGCACTTTGAATGCAGCTGTTGAATTCTATTTTTTTGGTGTATTTTAATGAGGGGGGTGCTGATACAAAATTAACTCAGTAAATCATTAAGGCACTGACATTTGGATGTGCTTTACCCAAGAAATGGAGTTCAGTCCATGGTGAAAATTCCTCACACACTGAAAAATGCTCTACTTGTTAAGACATTATGTACCACATTAGGCAAGAGGTGCTGCCAGAGGAAATGCTTAACACTCTCCTTCCACTGTGACTTCTGAATGAAAATTTACAAAATAAGGCCTAAGACAACATAGTAGCAGCAGATATTGGATGACACTGAATGATAGAGAGCAAGAAAACCAGTCTCCCCCTTGTGCAAGAAAAGTATTCGCTAAAAACTCAGTAATGCTGTAATTTACAGAATGGTCTTACTTTATCCCGTGTGATTAAAACAGAGACAACTTGTAACTACTGATGATACAAAATTTTTAATTTACATGCAACATGGAACATTTATGTCAAGGCAACAAAACATACAGTTTTGGCGGTTTAAAATTCTTTTCAAAAAAATGGTAAATGTTTAGAACTGAGAAAGATGCACATAACTGATTGCCCATGCACAAAATGACACCCAGAAACACGTGTCAGACTACATAAAAGACTTGAGCTAAACAACACATTTAGCTCTAAGAAAAGAGCCATCAGCGAACATGACTGAAGATCATGATGACTGCCCCCTCCAAAACACTGATGTGGCATGAAAAGTATTTAACAGCAAACAGGACTGATTAAATCACTGTACATTGATGCAGAATGTCAACTTGTGGAATCTGGATTCCAGCATTTTATTTGTAGTAAAAATGTATCTCTAATTTACAAATTTATATTTAATAATGTTACTCAAGAAACAGGTGCTTAATGTGATAACAAAAGAAGTTCCATGAAGTAATGGACATTCTGAAGGTGCATGAAAGGATTTAATGGTCAGAATTTACTACAGAGAAATTACCTGTGTGAGTACACAAGGGCTTGAAAGACCTGGTGGTTTTGTTAAACTACCTTAAAATTCTGCATTAAAATAGCATCACTGGTTGTGTACCCTGCCATGGGAGTAGTGTCCTCCAGCAGCATGGACTAGAGAGTTGAGGAGATGGATTCTTTTCCTCCAGCTAAAACCAGCAATGCCTTGAGTTCCAGAAATGCATAGCCTCCTACTTACAAAGACTAAATATTTCAGTTAAAGTAAGAATTAATCTTCTTTCTTTCAAGCCCACCCTATGGTGACCAGTTTAAAGTAGCAGTGCCAAGGTATCATCACAAGAGGCAAATCAACTAAACCTGTACAGATGTAGTGACATACTGTAAACACCTAGGAGTAAGCAATAATTAAAAATCTGTCTTGTATTGCAGCTACTCATGTAAACAATTTATGAAACTTCTTTGGCACAAAAAAGCATTTTCCCTAGCACTTATAAATACAACATACTTACATGCATTTCACTTTTGTTTAAAAATTACTAATCATACTGATAAGCATTACCTTGATTACCAAAATTCATAGATAAAGGATCCATTGTATCTTACAAAGAATTAAGAATATAGTTTGCAATTCAAAAATTATTTTGCAAACTTTGAAACTGTAGGGTAATCTGGAAAGTTAGTTACATTTTAAAAAATGTCTCCCTTTTTTTTCGTATCAGCAATTTAAATCAACGGCAAATAATTTGAGAAAACTGACTTAGAGAATTTCTGCTGTATTACCTAAGCAAGAAAAATACCTATTGCACTACTACAGGGATGAGAAAAGTCCTTTAACACACTTTAATACAGTCATTACATTGTTTCCCCTTTTTCACTCTCCTTGGGATCTTGCCAGCAAACACAGAATCCAAACTTTGCAAGATGCTTACCACCATCATCCATAGCCCCCATCTTTTCAGCAAGAAACTTTTTGTATAATGTTAGTTTATCTGTAACCCAGGCCACTTAAAAGCATTTAGTGAGTTTGCTCACCATTTACAAATCTCTGTGTATGCTTGATTTATATGATCAAGTTACATTTGTTATTCACATGCAATTTCAAGTGTTTGTGTTTCAGTGTGACTGGGACATCTCCTAAGTGCCATGATATTAACAGGAATGCAAAACCTAACATGGAGTCAACTTGAGAGAAGCTGTTGATAGGTTAAATATGCTATCTGAGGTCCTAAGCAACATACACAGATGAAAAGCTGGATTTTTAGGTATTTATTTGCCTACAAAGACTGGTGTTCAGGATTCCCTGTCTCTTCTGCAGGAGTTGATAAATATTTAAAGCACTGCAAAGTACAGTGGCTAGAGCCGATCCAGCCTAGGGCAAGGAGAAACAAAGCTGATGGCATTTAAGTATGGGACTGATTTCCAACTGTTTCATTTTAAAAACCAGTCATAAACATCAGATAATACATTCTGTACCTGAACAAGAGATTTAAATAATTCCAGACTAAAAGAGAGTATCTGAAAAGTCCTCTGGGGGAAAGAAAAAGCAAATGAAAACTGATCAAATTTGTGAATTATAAAGGCATCCATGACAATAAAAAATAAAGCAGCTTATTTTTTAACTCAGAACTAGCAGTCTTCACTGCAAGTCATCTTATGGAACATAAATCAAATGCATACAACATAAAGGTCTTCCTTCTTGTGTGCATCTCAAGATGGTGTTAAGCCTGGACTTGTCATCTCTGTTGTGGGACTTGCAAGGTATTCACTTGATTTCAGACTTGTGAGAGACTTGTAGCTTGCTACTGATGTCAGAGAGCCACAAAGACCAAGCAATGATGGAGTGTCTTCCTTTCCTGTGAAGAAAAATAAGAATTAAGTTAATAATTTTTGCAGCAGAAGATTAGTTCACCATAAAAAAAATGAGAGAACAGAAAAAGTTGTTTAATCTACACTACTGTGAATTCCATAGTATGCTTCAGCACAGGCATGTTTCATAAATGCGACTGGGAAGACAACTTACACCACACCTTCCCTATCCAGGTGGTACAGAGATCCCTGCCTTACAGGCTGGGCTGAAATCAGTCTTGAATTAAATTAGATTTTATTACTGCTTACAATTTAAAATAAAAAAAAATTCAAATTTCTTTATCCTTGATATTTAAAACAAAAGAAAGTTTAGCGGTTACGTAACACCAAGGTTTTGTATTGGCAAATCTATTTAAAGTTTAGAATTTATGAGACACAAAAAGGATTCTTTTATAACAATTTATATTCTATACCCAAAATACTACTATTTCACAATTCTTCCAACATTTTCCTGCTTTTTCAGAATTGCCCACAAGATGGAGCAGCTAAGCTTTGATAAGCATCCAGGTTTGAAAGGGGTGTGTGCATATACCACATTTATATAAACAGTTCATATCATGTTCCTCTATTTTAATGGAAACACTGTCAGGCTGCATCTCCAGATAAATGTTAAGTGCAAGATGTAAGAATGACAGTGGTAGCTGCAAATCCAGTGCATTTAATCATTATTTTAAAACCAAAAAAAGGAAACAAAGAGTTTGTTATAGCAGAAATATGTCAGCAGATCCTCCTTGTAGTGAAGCTGACTGGTTCTGTGATGGAAAAGGAAGAGATGTGCAAGACATTTGAAGCTTAACTTCAAATACAGAGGAGTGGCGTGTGTATCTTCATAAATCCAAAATTATTTGGAGTTCTTAGGGAAACTGAAACACTTCGCTTAACAATGAAAAATATGTTTTTCAATGTGTATTTTCTTCACACTGAAAATTTGTCTCATGGGACAAGTTCAGAGCTATGAAGAGCAAAATTAAAGGAGGACATCAGACTGGCTCTGTACCTTCATTTAACAAGTTAATTCCATCTTGCTTCCCATCCTGTGAGTGACCTGGATCCAGAGAGGACTGAGAAAGACTAACTTCTGCTGAAAGTTGGTCCAGACTTTGAAAACTTTTCCTGCAAAGCAAGTAATATTTGATAGCAACACATTTAAAGATCTAACTAGGTATATTCAACTCTCCTTAAAAAGTTTGCTAAAATAACCCTATGCAGTTAATCTTTCTTCTCTTAAACATTATTCTTATATATTTGCAAAGCCAGTTCTTTGCTAAAGCAATGATTTATTTTTCTGCCCCTTTTATAAAAATTAATCCAAAGGAAGAAATTTTTACAGAAAGCAAGAGAAACTGGCTTTAGTTACCAGTGATCTTTGTACATTGTAACAAGTGACTCCAACAGGATATGTTCGAAAGTATGCTGAAGGAAATACATAATTTTCAGTTTCCCTGTTCCTCTAAGGGGGAATCAAAATAAATATTAAGCTTACTCGTCCCACTGTTGATTGTGCTTTCTATAGAGTAGAGTGTCCAAGGCAACAGCATTGACATCCAGAGCTCCTGGGGAAGGCCACTGATTGGTGAGGTGAGTAGTTAATTCTTGTCTTGATCTCAAGTCATTATTCTTTAGCACAGTTCTGTGAATATATATAAAAAAAGAGTCTATTAAATGCAATTCCTTAAGATAAAGGAAAAACAGAACACAGATGATCATAGAATCATCATGGTTGGAAGAGACCTTCAAGATCATCCAGTCCAACCATCACCCAGCACTGCCACTGTAACTCCTAAACCATATCACCCAGTGCCAGACCCAGATGTCTCTTTAAGACCTCCAGGAATGGTGACTCCACCCTCTCCCTGAGCAATCTATTTCAGCCTGACCACCTGAACAGCAAAAAAAAATTTGTAATATCTAATCTGAATCTCCCCTCTTAAGTCTCATAAGCCATTCCTTTGGGTTCTGCCACTGCAGCCACAGAGAAGAGACCGATCCCCACTCATCACTACAAACTCCGTTCAGGAGCCTGTAGACAGCGATGAGGTCTCTGCTGAGCTTCCACCAGACTAAACACACATAGCTCCCTCAGATGTTCCTCACAGGATTTTGTTTCTAGACCCTTCACGAGCCTTGCTGCCCTTCTCTGGACACACTCCAGCATTTCAATGTCCTTTTTGGAGCGTGGGGCCCAAAACTGAATGCAGTGCTTGAGGTGCTGCTTCACCAGTGCTGAGTACAGGGCAATCATGACTACTCTTGATACAGGCCAAGATGCCATTGGCCACCTGGGCACACTGTTGGCCCATGTTTAGCCACTGGCAACCAGCAGCCCCAAGCTCCTTCCTGCCCGACAGCCCTCAAGCCCCTCCTTCCCCGGCCTGTAGCACTGCAGCGGGTTGTTGTCACCTAAGGCCAGGACCTGGCACTTCACCTTCTTGAACCTCATGCAGTTCTCTTCAGCCCATTGATCAAGTCTGTCCATATCTCTCTGCAGAGCCTTCCTACCCTCCAGCAGGTCACCACTCCCACCTAACTTAGTGTCATCTGCAAATTTATTGAGGGTGATCTCAATTTCCGCATTCAGATCATCAATAAAGATGCTAAACAGGACTGACCCCAAACCCGAGCCTAGGGAAACACCACAAGTGACCATCCAGATGTTCTATTTCAAGTGACCAACACAGACTGCAATTTTCACAAAGCATCTTAAACTGTTTGTTTTTCCTAAGGGAATCAACTTAGAAACATAATGAGACATATTCAGGAACCAAAAAAAAAATAAAAAATTGACATTTGAATCCTTCTACAAAAGCAATAAAGAAAGGCAACTGCATTTAAAAGGTTCTTTCTACCAGCATAATGGTAATTAACAGGCCAGCTATTTTGCAAGCCACTATGCGAATGTGATGTGCTTCCCTTGACACCAATTTTTTTTTTTGCAGTTTGAATACTCGTGCATCCCCCCTTCAATACTTTTCTGGAATGAACTAAAAACCAGACATATTAATTCCACTGTATGCTTTCAGGCAAAATATAACACATAGTTATTCTGTTTTCTATCACCTTACAATTTCTTGTAACTATAACTGATATTAAAAAGTGTAAACTGAATACTTCAAATACTCAAATTAGTTTTGCCTCATATTCCTGATGAAGCAAATCAGTTTTCTAAAATTCTAGAAATGAAGAAGCTAATATACTAGCATTGGAAATCACCTGCCAAAAGTCATAATAAGGAAAGTACATAGGTTTTCGGTCTCCAAGACAAGACCAGCCTTTTTCCAATAGCACAAGGCAACCTTTGATCTGCCCTTATACTGCTGTAGAATAACTAGAAATAAAAGCAAGAGCATTTTGTAATTGGATTTTTTTAAGTCCTCCAATCCACAAAATACTAGACAATAGTAAAATGTTGCTCTACAAGGAGTTTGACTATCTCTGGCCTGAAGCAAAAAGCTAATTTACTCATCTCCATACCAAATGTACCCAGAAGTTCAAAGCCAAATGCCACGTTGCTATCCAAAATGCCAAACTGCACAGCAAATTAAATAACTATTCATGGCACACATACATTTACTTGAATTTTCCAATAACATTGTCAACAGGTCTATTTTTACAATACAGTTTTTATTCTGGTGGTATTTGAACTGTTTAGACAGGACCTTCTGTAAGGACAAATAACAATGCCCAAAGAGCCAAAATTTCCCACAAAACAAAGAGAGTAGTAAGCTCAGGAAGGAACTTTTAGCAGCTGAGTTTCACAGAGGAGACAGATTCAGAGTTTTATTGTATGAAAAGGGGATGAAGCACAACCATGATTAAAACTAGTTTCAAGAAATTTCTCTCAAGATGACTAATTCCTTCAGCATTCATACAAGTAAACAATCAACTTTTCTACCCAGGGATCCACACTCTCACCCTCCTAAGAGGTCTACAGGAATAACCACTTTGGTAACCCAAAGCTCCCAATAATTTCAAGTATCTTGCCAGGTATTCACTTCCCCATGTAATAACCCTAATCCCCTGGGAAACATCAAGCATTACACAGAGCTGTCACAGGTTTGTTGATCTGAGGAAACTGAAACACAGAGATAGCAAGTTTTTATGAGGTTTGCCAGATACATTATATCACTTCTTTATTCAGAAGGACTTACTGCATGTTTTCACAGAAGTTTAAAAATAGGACACAGTTTGTATGAGCAACTATGCCCACAGTGCCTAAATGCAAATTCACACACGTAACGTGTACATGCAAATTTCCATTTAGACAGCCCCTGTAAACTATCACAGGCACATTATCACAGACACATCTACAGACAAGCTCCTAATAGTGGAATTTTTGCATTATACATAGGTTTCTATATTGAATTAATCTGATATGTCTATATTCTATATGGAATATATTCTATATTCCACAAATCTTTACACCCTACTGTGTGAACAAAGAAATTCTGAAGCTAAGACTCACCAAATTTTTCCAGGAATTTCAACATAACATTTAAAGATAGTTTCAGTTAATCACTTCTTAAACCACTCCACCATGCTCAGGAAGAAAACCAGGCATCAAGTAGGATAAACTTGAAGAGAACTAAATATTGTCCTCTTAAAGGTTTTATTTTGAATCTTTAAAAATACGTAAAAATATATGTGAAATTATAAAATCAGTCCAAGCACAGTATCAAATATATATAAAATAGTAGTATAGACAATAAAAGTTAGATAAAATAGTCACACCAGATGCTATTAGTTATCACCTATTTTATCAGCTTTATAGATTATTTAGCTCTTAGCTCTTCTGCAGACATTTTTCAAGTATTGTAAATTTCCACTGCTGCAGAGAGCCATTATAGAGCCACTGCCTGCAGACAGCAATTCTCTCGATATGGAAAAACTGGCACTCCTTTTGTTTAACCATATTTATTTGAAGAGTCAAAGTACTAAACTGCACCAAAACATAGAACCATTTAGGCTGGAAAAGACCCTTAAGATCATTGAGTCCAACCATAAGCCCACCACTAAACCATGCCCTAAGCGCCATGTCACAGCATACCGAATCCTCACACTCCTAATCACCATGAGGAAAGATGATCCTGCTACAAGTATTCAGAAACAGGAAAAGTGGTGGATGCAAAAGCATTTACTACAGAAAAGTTAAAAAGGAAGAAAATATGATCAAGTTTTAATGAAAAAAGCAAATACAAACTTCAAAACTCAATGTGAAAAAAAGCTGTGCAAGACTATCTAGTGCTGTCCTGCTCTTGTTCAGCCAAGAAAAACACTTTTTAGAGATTAAGAGCTCTCCATGGACAACAACTTATTATATCCAAGGCATACTGAATTTCTGCAGTAGTGCTCTTGTTCCCCAGAATGCAAACACAGGCAGGACTTTTCCTCGCACCAGGACTGCAATGAGTATGCAGTTCTATTTTTCAACAAAGTTCAATAAAATATGGTTCTATTGGTTTTGTAGCTGTGAGGACTTAAGGGTGATGCAAGATAAGGTTTGTAAACAGTATGTTAAGCCATTTAATATAGGAGTAAAAGCAAGGACACTCCAAAATGAAAAGAGGGTAAGAAAGAGAGACAATAGGATTTACTAAAAGAGGAAGTTAAAAAACAAGGAAATACAACTAAACCTGAGTGAAAACAAGCATACACACCAAGCTGTTAACTCCTTTTCTTCAGCCTGGAAAAGAAGATAAAAACAGTGGCTAAAAGCAGTAATCTCAGGAAGGCAGCTGGTACATGAAGAGTACAGTGGATCTTAGTACGAGATTGTATGGCTGTGTTTTGGATGAAAGACAGGCAGTGTGTGAGACACGGCTGAACAGGGTATCCTGAACTAACACAGTGGGACTGCAGAGTGCAGAGGTTTTGTGCAGTGTAGGAGGATTATGTAAGAACTTATTATGAGAGCAGGAGGTTAAACCCATTTATGGTACAATCTCTAATCTAGGCATGAAAAAATTCTTGATTGCCTGAGAGCCTGTGAGCTTCCCCTTGCTCATCTAACTAACTGGTATCCTCTATGTCTACAATTATTTTCATCTCTTCACAGCAATAGCTGTTCTATAATCTGCAGAAAGTTAACAGTTGTACCCTTAGCAGTCCTTACCCCAAACAACACTTCTAAGACAACTTCATATAGGGTTTCAAGTTCTGCAAACATCATGAAATAAAGAAATAGTGAAGAGATAGGCAGAGAAAGAACATTCAACAATAACCAACACATCAGTCTATTACAAACATTAATCTCAAACTGAATCAAAAAAATAGCACTGTATCAGCTACTAGGAAGAAAATTAACTCTATCAAAGCTGAAACCAGGGCATTTCTTTTAAAATGACCACATACCCTCTGTACTACTTGACAACATAGACTTTTCCACAATGCATATATACAAGGGAAGTATAACACATGAAGTCTTGTCATGTTGTCCCAGAATAACATTTAAGCCACTTAAATTGAAGTGGGATTTTTTTTTATATATGAAAAAAACAAATTGAAAATACTACTGGAAGTAATAATTTCCTTGGCAAAACAATCAGCAAAATAGATGAGAATATCTTAGTACTAAAGTACATGATTAAAAACTAACAAATGTTTGCTTTACATTTGTTTTTTTTGTTCTCTATA